CTAGTAAGTAACTATTAGGCAGGTAGTATATACAGCATGGACACACTGAACAAAAGGATGATCCATGTCTTGGGTGGGAAAATACAAGATTTCATTATGCAATACTCAAAAATGTTACACAACTCAAAACTCATTAATTGTTTATTTCTGAAATTTTCTATTTATTACTTTCAGATTGCGGCTAACTATGGGAAACAGAAACCAAGGAAAGTAAAACCTCTGATAAGAGGGAACTGTTAGCAAAAATGTTAAATTTCTTTTAAATCAGATAGTCACACATTCAAGCAATTATCTTTACAAGACAGAAATCATGCACATTAAGTATTTATGTTTAAATAATAAATCACTTTAAATTAATTATAATTAACATGTATGAAGTATTTTTTATGTCAGCCATTCTTTTTAAGTATTTAACATGCATTAGCTCAGGCATATTCTTCACCACAACCAGGTAAAGTAATATTATCATCTTTAATTTATGGCTGAGAAAAAGGAGGTACAGAATTATCAAGTAACTTGCCCAAGATCACACAGCTATTAAAGGCAGATGAGTTAGACGAATTCAGCAGAATAGCTCCAAGGACCATTCTTTAACTTTTTTAGTTGAGTACATTATATACCTTGACACCTGAAGACCCTTTTGAGTTTGTTAGCTTTAATTACATATGAAAAAGTATTTTCACAGGCAGTCAAGATGTATGGAATTATTAAAATGCTTTCATGTTCAGTTTTTAAGTTTAGATGACAGAATTAGGGACATCTCTTAAGCCACTAGTATCTAACCTGGTTTTTCCAAATAATAAATCTGTTGGCTTTATTTATACAAAGTTGCATAAATGTAACCAAGTGCCTTTTACATATTTAGCATAATTCCTGACACTTGCCAAAAAATCCTTTGCACAGGGTGTGGGATGTTTCATTCACATGAGTGTGCATTATAATAATTCTACTACTTCTCAAATGGTAAATGCAATAATTCAATAGACACCTAAATACTGAATGAACAGCACCAAGTAATACGGTAACAGGATAAATTAGATTGTCTAGGCTCTCAAGGCAGGCCACAGTTACAGAACAATGTAATAAGAGCTTTTATGGGGATATGACCAAGATTCCCAGGAACAGAGATCTACCTAGTTCCATCGAGTGTGGTGGCAGCTTCATGTGCAGCAGTAGCTTCACATGCATTCTTTCCTCTCAGAGAACATACGCAATTTAAGTAGGACTAGAATGCAGGGTTTGCACAGCAAGGAAGAGAATGTGATGAAGAGGAGAATGAAACTGGAGCCAGAGAAAGAAAAGTCTAATGAGTCATGATGATAATAAAGCACTATAAGGATTTAAGCAGGAAAGGGATGGGATCAAATGTTATCACATTTTAAAAAGAATCCTGCTTTCAAGTGAATCACAAATTTGCACCTTTAAAATTAAAGTACAACTGCACTGTTTCAAATTGGAGTGAACCTGCTTGACCAGAAGAACACTTTATAGAACAGTTTCAAAACCAATGTTTTAGAAGAAAAATTAATAAATCTACACAAATGTTCTCCCCACTTCATGCCTCTCACTACAAATCTAACTTCTCAGGTGCAAACATTCATTCTAGTAGTTTTTCATCAGTTACAGAACTAGCCATATATAGAACAAAGCATATACTACTACAAAAACAATATAATCAGCATGTATAATGCTACTAAAATAATATAAGCATATATAAAAAATGATACAGAAAAAGGGAGATAAAGATAGGTGTCAGCTTGTCCATTCTTGATTTAAAACTGTAAGTGATCACAGTTTCTAACCCAAATATGACAATTCCTAGTTGGACAAATACTAATGTATTTGTGGCTAGAGGATATTGAAAACTGGCACAGTGCTAGAAGATGCAAAATGATTATAATTGGCAGAAGTTTTCAAGGTTAGTAGACTTGGACTTTCTTAACAATGATTTTGTGTCTAAAAATCCTTCCCTCCTTACAGCTTGGGCATGTGTTCTCACCTTATAAAATTTGTAACTAAAATATAAAATGTGATCACTAAAAATGACCATCAGTGTGAAAACTGCATATCTTACTTATAGCTACCTAATGTATTCCCAGCAACAAGTGAAACCAAATAAAGATATGGATATGCCTCTCCTAATAATTTATTGTTCTTGATTCTACAGTAAAGGAAGCTACGTTATAATCCCACATCAATGAATTTACTCAACATGTTTTACATCAAAACAATTATACCCACTGATACAATCTAATCTAATCCCCATGAACTTTCTGTCCTCTTCTTGTACTAACATTTGTGGGGAACATACTCACTTAAAAAGACTAAAGGATTTTAAAAATGTCATCCATTTTTTTAAGTAGTAAATTGAAAACAAACATTCAAAACAATGTTCAAGACATATTAAGAATTACAGCATAATCTCAGAGTTATCATTGCTTTTCTCTACCAGATAAAACATCAGAAAACAGTGACCACCTGGATCACTCTGCCATAAGTTCTCCTGTAGTATATGGCTAACGACCACCACTGACAACTATTAAAAGGGAAAGGGGAGAGAAGCATAAGATAAAAAATAAATCCTTCAACAATCATTTGACCTATTTGTATCATATATGTACTTATTTAAAGACATACTTAAGAAATGGTCTTACTTTGAAGCAACATAAATGCTATTGTAAGAAAAATACCATTTTTATATATTTACACCGTCAAAAATTTATCACCCAAATATCTGAGCATACTCCAGACTTCCTAAATTTACAAAATTAGTGAAGGAGTCCATTATAAATCTGTTTGGGATAAAGATACCTCTCTACATTATAGTAAAAATAAATTATATCATATGTTCCAATCATATTAGTCATGTCAGGCAAACAGCTTAATAAATTACTCATTCATAGTCTTTTCAAATATAAAAGTCTGAGAACTATCATATAATCATTAACACAAAATAACTTTTTCTTTTAGATAAGTTTCTGTTTATAAATCAAATGAAAACACACTTGAAAGTAGTTCTGCAGAGAAATAAAGTTTAAAAAAGCTCATATATAAAATTAAAACTAAAACAATACCAATACCAATACCACACACTTATCTATATATTTAATTAGAAAGTTTTAGAGTTAAATTTCCTTTGCTTGTCTGTTTAAGTTTTTTTTTGGTCCTTTTGAAAACCATTCCATAGGCAAATCAATTTTTTTTAAAAGAGACTATATGCCTACTATGCTGATTTTAACAATATCACATAAAGTTAATAGCATAAATACTAACAATAGTTAAAAAGATACAAATTTATACAAACGGTGCCTAAATATCCCACATAACAAAAAATGTTCACTAGTTACCTGAAGGTTAATTTACATCTTTCCTAATTTGTGGAAATTGCAAAAACTTTTCTATTTAGAGTAGTTTCTGATTAAACTACATTCAGTAACTAAAATTTAGACACTGTCCCAGAGACAATAGTTGGGAGAAAATAAAGAGGACAGTTTTTTTCAAATGAACTTTGTACTGCTATTATAGATAACATGACCCAATGCTTAATACTAGCATTAGTGGAGTCTGGAAAACATGAACATGTAATAGTGAAAGAAAACCCTGCAAGGAAAAAAAGAAAATACAATTTACGAGATCACCCATGACTCCATCTCTGAACTCATCCTTTCTTATTTTTAAAATCTATTACTTAAGTTTCTGTAAATTACAAAGTTTAAGCTTTCAGAAAATTCCATATAGTGGACTTAACACACACTAGTATTAGATAATACTTTATTCTTAAGAACTCTAGTGAATATTATTTAAAACCTTAGTTTACATAAAGTGCCTTGAACCTTTGATTGCATATTATAGGAAAAAACTCTGGGAACAGAAAAATTACATGCTATCTTAAAAGTGACACTGGATTAAACAATGAAATTGAGAACATAAGTCATCCTTAACTTCTAATTAAAATTTCTAATAATTACCTCTACTTCCATATTATGACACAATTGTTTTTAAAAGATGCAGTAATATGCTTACTTTATTTATATGTATTTTAAAAATTTAAATTTCATACCCTTATTAGCCATAAATCCAATGGAATGTATTTCTTTTACCTCATTCTGCTCTGAAATTTACAATCCTTTGACAATCCAGACTTAAAAAAAATTTAAATATTCCTTTTAATATCATAGTGTCTTCAATCTTCATTTTTCATGTTTGTTCACTTGAGAAATGGAAAGCCTGCCCTAAAAATCAATGGCATCATTCAAGCTGTTCCTTCAGTTTTCATAATATTCAATTATGCTAAGAAGAATAAAGCTGTGCCCAGTATCCTGAAGTTGGACCCTAGATTCAACTTCAGCATTAACACCTTACTTTCTATCTAAGGTACAATAACAAAATACCATTAAGCACTCTAAAGACACTTCTAACACTTCTATGCTTGCATGCTGGGCTCTTTATTTTTCAAATCCCTTCTCTAAAAACAAAATTTCTCTACAATTGAAAGGTGATAAGGGTGTCACTCTTACCCAAGGGAGGCATGAATAGTATAAAACAAACCAAACGTGATTAGTTATCTTTTAGTAAAGTTTGTGGCCACTTCTCTTTTTTCCTCCTTATCCCAACATAAAGTGTAAGTTAACCCATAAGTAAGTTCTATTCACATTGGCTCAAGTTCCTTTTTTTTTTTTTTAACATAACCAAAGCAAAATATATCCGAATTAAACTCCCCAAGTACATTATCCAATACCTCCTGTAACTCCAAATGAACGCAACAAACTCTCACAAAAAGGAAAAAAAAAAAAAAAGGTCCCTTGAAAGTTTAAAAGAGTATTCAGTCCTTGTCCTTTCATCAAAATGGCCTTTTTCTCAAGTGACCCAAATAGAATTGCCGCTTAGGAAAAAATCAAGCCTTTAATTCTGAAGAATTTGCACCTAGAGAAAATTTCAAGGTAACGGTTTTTACTGCTGTGGACTTTTGACCAAATCTATTTATTTTGATTTTGCTGAAGTCTGGGTATAACCACTGGTTGGCCTCTGCTGCAGGATCACAGTCCTGGGGAGTGTCTGACAAGAAGGCCTTTGATACCACAGTAAGTACACTACCTTAGATGGGATTCCCGACAAACCTGACCATAAAATTTTACTCAATGGTGAAAAGTATTTTAATTAGGTTTCAGTGTACTCCTTAAATAGTACGGCATAAATTAGATGACAAATTTTGCATTCAGTTAAAACATTAATAGGTAATGTATAAATATGGGGCAATATTGCTTTGCCCCTAGATGATTTTAGGGAAGGAACAATTTAAGGAACACACTGATAACCCCTACATACATCAAAAGTTGGTCCCTAAATTGTATGCCAACTGATTTTTCATAAATCAAACAAACTTTGATAAGTACCATATAAAGGGATTATTTGACAGTACCTTTTACTGACTCTCTTTTGTGAAATTTTCATTTAACCGCTAATTGTTTTGTAACTTTAAACTTTAAATATCAAATATCTTAGAGCACAGCTGCTTTCATAAGCCAAAAAATTCACCCCAGCACAACTGTCCTATTACCCCTGAAGGAAGCTCTACAATGTCACTCCCCCAAACCAATTGTTTCCATGACAGAATATACAAACAATACAAAAAGTTGAAAACTAAATTGATTTTTAAGTGTGAACTAGAAATAGATTTCCAAAAAAAATTACCAAAGGATATTTTTGGCAGAGATTGCAATAAATGCTGAGTAAAAATGATTTTCAAAACAAATCAAGATATGCATTTGTCAAGTCATTTTCCCATTTGTCTTTTATCAGCTGGAGTAAACTGTTCAAGAACTGTTTATCTCCATGAATACATGACCTCCAGGATGCCACCAAGGTCAACAAGACCTACAGGAGGGGGATATGCTGAGTAAGTGCTGATCTGCCCAATTCTACAGTTTCCTTTAAGAGAAATGGAAAGAAGAAAAACACAAATTTATTTATATGTCACAAGAAAAAAGGTTACTACAACTAAGCATCCATTACAAGACTGTATACTGACATATGTCAGTAATGACCAATGGGCCCAAAATGTAAAAGAGATCTAAAAGAACAGGACCAGTTACAAAAGTGAGTGCATCGAAAGAATTAACAAGATTCCCAAGGAATCTCCCCTTACATCATGTACTGGAAACCTACCCTGGCTACATGCCACAAAGACTCAATTTCAAAGTGAGGGTCCTCGGTTGAGAGAACTTTTTAAAAAAGTGACAACCAACCAAAGATCCATAACCAACAGATGAAGCACCCACGTATCAGAAATGCTTAGGGGTGAGGAGCAAGTTTGTGCATGCTGAGTCTGCCAGCTGCCATCTCTTGTCCTTCGGGCATTTCCTCCACTACCACCGTCTGCACCTCTCACAAACCAGGAAGCTTTCTTGGATGAGATTTAAATTTTACCCACTTGGTATCTGCTTACACTAGACTTATGCTGGAAAAAAAAAATCCCACATCAACTTGAAACTATTATATTGGAAATTTCCACACAGAGTTCAGACATAGACACTCGGTAGGTCGGAGCTAGTGCCTGATCATGGCCAAGTAATTTTGTGGAGAGTAGTTTTAACTATAGACAATCCATTCTATCGTCCCGTAAACAGGTTGCAAACGTATGGTCGTGGAAGACTAAAAAAGACAAACCATTAGCCAAAGCACCGTTTATTCCCAACCTGCAAGGTTCTGGCTGGTAGCAGTCTTCGAGTGACTTTGGTAGGTGGCCCGGGGTCAACGTGATTACCTAACAACCCAGGCATCTTTAACCAGCTCCACTCCGACGGGCTCCAAGCTCCTGGCAAAACGAAGACAGCTTGAGCATATCAAGTACTTCGGTGCCCCGCTTCTATTTTTCTCCGCGCACACGGAGTCTGACACCTGAAACCCGTCACGCAGGCGTCACCTCGCTGCTCGGGGCTTCGGGGTGCCGCATTTATTTTTAAAGTCCACCGGGCATCGATTCGGCTGTGCGCCCGTGGGAAAGATCAACCCATTTCCTGCACACACCAGGGAAGGGGCTCCTGACGATCCGGGCGGCTTCCTCTCTCCCAAGTAACTTTTCAGAAAACCACTTAGTCCTAAAATAACCGCAGGCAACAAACACTGCACACTGGCATGGCAACGCTCGCCGCCGCCGCTGCCCTGGCGGCTCCGCGTCCGCCCGGGGCTCCGGCCCCCGCCTCGAGTCCGCACCCGCCTGGCGGCACCGACTTCGCGGGCAGCCGCCACTTCGGCCGTCCGGGCACGAGCGGGCGCCAGGTCCCGGGCGGTGCTGCCCGGCCCCGGCCTCGCCGGGCCAGCCGCGGGCCACCTGCCCGGGTCCCCCACGCCGAGCCCCGTGGAGCCGAGCAGCGCCCCTCCCGGCCGAGCGGCCCGCGCCGCCCCGCGCCCGAGGCCGCGGCCCGCGCCTGTCAGCGCCCCGGGCAGGGTAGGGCGGGCCGCGCGCCGCGCGCTCCCCTGCCGCCCCGCCGCCGCACTCACCTGGCCCGGCCGGCCGAGGGCGGGCGGGGGCTGGGGTCGCGCGGAGGCCCCCGCCCGGCTACCGCCGCCGCGGCGCCCACCCTCCAGCGCCCCGCGCCCCACTCCCGGCCGGCGCGCGCCCGGCGCGGCTGGGGGAGGGGGCGCGGGCACGCGCGAGCGCCGGGCGAGGGGCGCGCGGGGGGCGGGGGCAGGGGGCGCGGCGCGGGCAGGCGCTCGGCGGCTGTGGCGGGGAGGAAGCAGCCTCGGCCGCGTCCGTCATGGCGTGCGGCGGCGGCGGCGGCGGCGGCGGTTCCCTCTGGTCTCTCCGCTCTCTCGCCTTTAGTTTGACCTTTCCCTCCAGTGTGTCTGAGGGAGAGCGGCCGTGCGCGCGCGTGTGCATGGCTCTGTGTGTGTGTGTACGCGCGCGCGCGCGCGGAAGGGGCCGGGTTCGTTCTCCGACGCCTGACGTCACTGCCATGGCAACGGCAGTCCCCGCCCTCCGCTTCCATTTCCTGTCCCCTCCCATTCTGCACGTTCCAGGCTCTCACGTGCCCACTCGCACGCGCGCACGCACGCACGCACGCTCGGAGCGCGCGCCCCGAAAACGAGGCGGGTAGGTAATGGGCCTGCTCCCTCCCTGCGCCTCGCCGCCTCCCAGAATCGGACCAATCCAGAGGACTGGAGCCGTGGGCGGGGTAGGCTAGGGGGCCAGGGCAGCGTGAAAAATTTCCCGCGACCGAGCGAAAACTCTTCCTGAGCGACTGAGCATGCTCGATAGCGAAAAGGGTCCGCCGGACCCAAGTTTGGGAAAGAGGAGGAGGAGGCGTTGTTGTAGTTGAGCGTAGCTGGGGTCCGGTGTCTGGGAAGGTTGCCTGCTGGCACACTGGGGCGACGTCGATTTTTAGAGTCTGGAAGTCTTGGAATGGAATCTGTCCTCCACTATTTTGCTGTGTGACCTTGGGCATGTTACTTTAACACTCTGAACTGAATGTCTGGAGTAAAATGGGTTAGTAAAAATCTGCCGCGGTGGTTGTAAGGATTAAAAGAGCCTCATTTGGCTTATGGTAGACTATAAATACCTAGCAGCTATTATGGAGCCCACAACCTCGGTTTTTTGAAATGGGGGCACAGGACTGAGAGATCAAAGCATTAAATGACTTTTTCAAGGTCGAGTAGTGGCAGAGACCCAAGGTTCAAGTTCAGTGCCCTTCGTCCCCTTTTGGCACAATGGAGAGGAGCACTGGTGTCTTGGATCAAATGCTTGCTTATGACCCAGCAGGCGGGGAAAGAAGAGGGGATACAAAATTGGTCATCATCGGCCACCATCACATTGGCAGCAGCAGAACATGTTACCTTATTGTCAAATCAGGTGTTCCTGTAATCAAACTCTGGCTTAGCCCACAACTGACAGTATGACCCTGGCCAGGTCACTTCTCCTTAAGCTCTGATTGCAGAATGTGGACAGCAGTGCTACAGTATAAGGTTGCTGGGCAGGGGAAAATAAAATATTGTGGGAAACCCTCCTTTAAAGAGTTCCCCAACATCCAGCAAAGGTTTAAAACTGTATGTAAGGGGTGGACAGCCATGGTGCGACTCTTGGGGCTCAGTTATTTAAGACTTCTGAATTTGCATCTGCATAAATGGCAGAATGGCATTTTCCTCAGTTTCCTAGTGGCACCTAAGTTTCTTCGGAAGTTAAGTTAAAGTGTAAACACAATATCAAGAAGCTTCATGGTGTAAGGCAACATGACATTTACCTGATGTCTCCAGTAGGCAGGAAGGCCTTCCCAGCCAGCAAGGGGCCTATGACCTCGGAGCTACACAGGCAGGCACCTTAGGGTTTGACCCTGGTGGTCTCCTCATTGCTCAAACTTGGGCTTCCAGCCCTCTCTCCTATTTTCACTCTTAATCTTTTACTGCCTCTGGGTATTTATTAACCATTAGAGTACTATTTATCTCTAGATTTGCTGTTAACTTTTTAAAAAAGTCTGTCTGTCTCTGTCTTGTAGCTCTAAACCTAAAACTGATCTTGGTGCAGAACCTCCGCAGATCCTGAGATTTCCTCATTTCTTCTCCAGTGTTTCTCCTATGACCATTTCAAGTTTCAGCTTGAAGGCAGTCTCTTCCAGAAAGCCTGGCTAGAGCTACATGATTGGAATGAATTAATCCCTTTCTCAGAGCACTTGGGAAGGCCCTCTGGACAGTGTTCCTCATGCACATATCACCTACAGAAAGCTGCTCTGAATGTCCATGTATGGAGTTGTTGAGCCTATGGTCCAATATACATTATTACTCATTCTTCTAAGTCTTCATCTGTTTGCCTTCCCCATCAGACCGTAACACTCTGTAAGGAACCGCGTCTAGGTCCAGCATGTCTGGCCTGTTCCTCACTACCACAATACCTCTCCACAACTGGTTATTGAGGCTGGGAATGTAGCTTGCCTAGCATGCATGAGGCCCTGAGTTTAGTCCCCCCACCATCAAAAATAAACCAAAGTACAAAGTATCAAACTTGGGGCTGGGATTGTGGCTCAGCGGTAGAGTGCTGGCCTAGCATTTGGGAGGCTCTGGGTTCGATCCTCTGCACCACATAAAAATAAAATAAAGATATTGTGTCCAACTACAACTAAAAAATAAATATTTTTTTTTAAAAAACAAAATATCAAACTTTAAGTTAATTTTTTTTAAAACCCAATAGCTACTGAAGAGCTGAGTGGGCTCCCCATTTTATAAGGTTCTTAGGGATAGACTTTACCTTGCTTATATTGCAGAACCAAGAATTTATAGGAAGTTGGATTCCCAGTAAGTCTTGGACTATTCTAAAATGCACCAGAAATGGATGGGGGCATAGCTCAGCGATAAAAGTAATGTGTGAGGCCCTGGGTTCCATCCTCGGCACTGTAAAATAAATAAATAGAAATTAAAAACAAATAAACAAATAGAATGCACCTACTCGGTGATACTGTCGACAATGAAAAATGACTATGGTAGTGCAGTAGATACTGGGCAATGTGATAAGTGGGAAATCCATTGAGAAGCAGCTTCCACCAAGGACCTAGGATCAGAGATGATCAGAGTTTGTTAGGATGAAATAATGGACAGCTTGCCCAACATGTGTCAGTGATGTTGCTACTGGAAAAGGGGGAAAATTATGCAAAGAGGAATATTTTCAAATCATGCTCACTTAATCTGAATGGGTAGTGTTTGTCCCTGTCTACTTTAGCTCAGTTATCTTTATAAAGCCCAGTGGTATTCTCACATCTAGCATTGTCCTCCCTCTTGATATTGTGTTTGCATGTGTGTGTGTGAGTCCTCACCAAATCTAGTCCTGCCATTTCTCATCATGCTAATGGCACCACCAGCTGCCCGGAGCACAACCCTGGAGTCATCCTCAGATTTTACGTGTCTCCATGTTATGGTTTGGCTGTGAAGTGTCCCTTAAAATCTCCTGTTCATGCACAGATGTTCAGAGGTTAGAGGATGAGATGACAAGAGCTGTAACCTAATCAGTGCACCGAGTTTGAATGGATGGAGTGGGTGGCAACTGTGGACAGATGGAGTGTAGCTGGAGGAGGTGGGTCCCTGAGGAAGGATGCACCTTACCTGTGGCTCATTCCCCACAACCTCTACTTCCTGGCCCCACTATGAGCTGAGCCACTTTCCTCTGCTGGGTCCTTCCCTGTGACATGCTGCCTCACCTGGGGCCCAGAGCAACGGAGTCAGCCATCTGTGGACTGAGATCTGTGAAGCTATGAACCCCAAAGAAACTTTCCCTCCTTGAGGTTGTTCTTATCATGTATTTTGGTCACAGAGGCAGAAAAGCTGACAAAAACACTCCCTCTGTCTGTCTCCGTGGGCCATAAAGTCTTCTGTTGCAGAGGTCACCATGAACTGGAGACGTTCTGCACCTGCTTGGTCACTGCCTTAGCTCAAGCACTCATCTCTCCTCCATACTCTTCCCAAGCCTCCTAACTGGGCTCTCTGTCCCATTGTGGGCCTGTCCAGCTCCAGTTCCCCCCCATTTCAGACACCAGAGGGACCTTCCTGAGAGGCAGAAATGCACCTTGGAATTCCTTAGGCCTCTCCTGCCTCTTCAGGAAGACCAGACTTCAGTGGCTCTCTGTGCTCCTCCTCAGCCAGTTTCTTCAGCCCTGTCTCCCACCACTTCTGCAAGGGCTGCTTGTTCCCTGCATGTTGAAGTGTGCAGCCTCTCACAGGCATAATGTTCTTGGTGCCCGCAAACCCACCTACCTAGCTCTCCGCTCTGGCGTTTCTCATCTCTGCGTTCTAGGTCTGTGAGAATGGTCCTCACTACATGCCTCTGGTGGAGCTCTTCATATGTTCAAACGGTTTTATGGTGTGTGCCATCTTTTCTTCTCCACTAGTTTGTGAGCTTCTGGAGACCAGGAATCTGGGCTTATCTCATTCATGTATGTAACTCTGGAGCACCCGGTATGTAATAGACACTTCATAATTGTTTATTGAATGGATTAGTGTAAGTTCCACCAAGGAACAAAGCTATTATATTTCTTGGATTCTTCATAATGCCATGTCTAGTATTATGCAAGTATCAAGTAGGCACTTTAACTACAAAATAAAGGGTGCAATGAAGCATTGCAAAGGTATCGTGTGCAGGGACTGAGCTTAGTACTTTCCATTAACTGACTCTGGTCAGTTGGTCCCTAACAACCTTATATAATAGCACTACTGTCCACATTCTGCATATAAGGAAATCAGAGCTTAAGGGGTAGAAGTGACTGGGCCATCATCATACTGTCATCTATGAGCCAAGCCAGAATTTGATTACAAGAGCACCTGATTTGGCAATAAGGTAATATGTTCTGCTGCTGCCAATGTGATGGTGGTGATGGCGATGATGACCACTTTAGAACTTCCTCTTCTTCCCCTGTCTGCTTGGTCATAAGCAAAGTCTTCTGCAATTGATCCAAGAAACCAGTGCTCCATTGTGCCACCATGAAGAAATGTGATTGCATTTCATGCAGCAAATATGCACAAGTCAGGCTACATGGTCATCTTCTCTCTTGCAGAATCATTTATCCATAACAGAAGTCAAAGTTACTAATCTTAAGAACATAAACATTGAGCACGTAAGGCTAAGACATTTAAAATTGGCCTTTGGGATCTGAAGAACCAGCTGAGGCTTCTTTCCTTTTCCTTTTTCTTTTTGGAGACTAAAATAAGAAAACTTGTTTGAATTGGCAACATTGTTCATTAATGGGACCTGAGCTGTCTTTTGGTATTTAAAAGGCAATCCTCAAAAAAGTTGGGTCTGGAAGCCAGTGTGGGTGTGTTAAGTACCTCATTAGGTGCAGAGAAAGAATACAGGGCTCCTTCTTAAGGGACTCTCCCGCTCCAGGATTGCTGAAAAGGCCCCGGAGTTTGCTTGGGGCTCCTATAGAGATATAGGCACACCCTTGACTTGTGAGCACTCCTCTGATAGCTAAGGTCAACATCTTTGTCAGAACAGAAGCCTGTAGGGGGAGGAAGTGAGGGAAGAGGTGGAGAAGTGAGGACCCACATCTACCCACCTCACCAGACCAGCTCAGTCAGTCCTGGATGAACAGTGGGAACCAGCCCTTTTGCCCTCATGTCCATCTAATGCTGATGTATTAAAATGAGGTATCCACCTGTGCACTGTGCTCTGCACAACCCTGGGGGCGGGGTGGCTATCTGCCTGGGAATATATGTGAGTGGTGGGCTCAATACTCAGCACAGTACTCAGCCTCCATAAACATAGACAACCAGGCTGGAGATGTGGCTCAAGCGGTAGCACGCTCGCCTGGCATGCATGCCGCCCGGGTTCGATCCTCAGCACCACATACAAACAAAGATGTTATGTCCGCCGAATACTAAAAAATAAATATTAAAAAAATTCTCTCTCTCTCTCTCTCTCTCTCTTAAAAAAAAAAAAAAACTGGGTAAACATAGGCAACAGTCCTAAGTGACGTGTACAGGCACATCTGTGTCTATGTGGGCAGTTTAAATGATCCTGATTATACCTTTGATGATGCAAATCAGTGGAATGCTCAGCAATTGTCACCTCAAAACTGTAAACGAATTTTATTCTACAAAGTTATACCTAAATATTTGTGTATATTTCAAAGTGCTTATTATAATGATATCACTACTATTTATTTATTTTTTAAATGTAACAGTTGAGCATCTGCAAGATTTTAGGCATGGTTCAAAAGTCTGGATTAAACAACTTCATTTCATAAAAAAACTGTTAACTGATTCATTCAAAGATAAAAAGCCTATGCTTTTTGTACTTTATGCCATTTTTTTAATGTGAAGGTGTCCCCCAAATCCTTCTTATTTTTACATGGAGATGACATTGGGCTATTCCTCTCAAATAGCCCTATATATTAGTATGCCCCAGTCAATATAATCCTTATGCAATGCTTTTTTTTTTTCTTTTCTTCCTAGATCTTCCTTCCTCTTTTACTAAGGAGGCCCCAGAAAGTAAGTTGGCTTCTTTAAGGTTTTCCTCAACTGCCCTTAGCAGAGTGAGCCCAGGACCAACTGCCCAGGGAGAATAGTCAGACTTGGATCTCAGAGGATGCTTGGATCTGTGGGGGAAAGCTGCTGTCCAACCAGAACATCTGGATCATTTGGATCATTAAATGGGCAACAAATAACTGAAAATATGTGTGTGTGTGCACGCACACTCATGCATGTGTGAAAGTGTGTGTTTGGTATAGAATCAAACTTTCCTTGTGGATTAGTTGGAAAAATAAATGACCATATTTGAAACCCAAATCTGTGGAGTTGCTCAAACTTGTAACAATAAATTCTTTGTAAAGTGAGCCTCTGCCTCTGCTAGTCTTTATGACATCACTTTTCAGTCTTTGGTGGCCTTGCTCTGTGAGTGTCACTTCAGGAAAACTGTTAGTGCAGTTCCAGGAGCTAATACTTGGTAACAACAGCAACAACAAAAACAAAAAACAAAAAAAATCCCAGTACACAGATGCAGTCATCCCCTCCACACATACACTTAAACAGAAGGACACAGAGTCCCAGCAACTGGCACCGTGTTTACTGTTATCATTATCAGCATCAATATTTTCCTTAAGTTAAGATGCTTAAAGAATTCTGAAATTATAATCTTGACTGTTCGCAGCAACCCAGGAAGAACCCATGCCTGTCCCCAGGAAGAGGGCAGGCTCTACTTCCTGAGTGACCATTTTGCAGTGTCTGTCCCGTGATCCCATGAGGCAGGCAGTGTTATGCCAACCATCTGTGTTTGAATGGCCCTCCTCTCCTGCCAAGCACTTCAGAGCCAGAGGTGGGACTTCTTGGTACTTCTTCAGAGTTGGGATCAACGACTGTAGCAGGGCTGGCTGAGCTCTCCCTTCTCCCCAGGATGGGATGCAGGTCCATCCCCTGCAGGCCACATTTTGCCCTGAGGCAAACATTCACTTTTTCTACTGGCACAGTCATTTAAGCCACACCAAGGCCCATTGGTGTGATGCACTTAACAATTAGGTAAGTTTTGTTTCTTTAGGGTAACATCCATGCTTCCAGGGGACCTGCAAAGGTCATTCCTGTCAAAGGTGCTCAAAATCAGCAGCCAAATTATTCCTGCCAAATACTCTGAGGTTGCTGAATAGAGGCTTGTACCATTTTAAATAGTAACTTAAAAACCTCTTGTCCTGGGCCCCAGAAATAATCATGATACTTCTAATCAGCGTCCTCAGAAGTGAGTGTTAATGATTATATAACGAGTGGCCACTATGTGAGGCATTTTAATGGTGCTTTATGCATGGAAAATATTTAAGCTTCCAAACAGTTTTGCAAGGTAGGATTACTACACCCTCCTATAGATGGAGAAACAAAAATTCAGAGCACATAAATGACTTGCTCAGTGTCACCACAGGGATGATGTTGATGAGCTTAAAAAGTATTATTTTTTAAAAAATCACCTAAGTATGTAAAGAGCCAATTCCAAACTCAGGGATATTTTAAACAAGCTTTTTATTGGAAAATTGTAAACATGCAAAAAGAGGGAGGTATACCCATCAAGCACCTCCTATCAGGGATAATTTGGAATTAAAAGGTTTTGAATGATTTCTACCTTATTTTTCTTGGATGAGAGCCAATTCCTTAATGAGCATCTCTGCAAAAGAGGAACCTGGGACTGAATCTTATTTATAGAGGAAAAAGCTTATTTTTATTTCAATCTCACATCCTTACTCTCCACTTGAATTTGCCAATTAATGCAGGAATAGCAAAGAATGTGAAGACTTGATTTCGAGTTGTCTGCTCCTCATCCCTACCGCAAAGGCTCCATTTGGGATCAAGGCAGGTTGACAGCGAGTCCTGTAACCATCTTCTCCCTTCATCAGCTGCAGCAAGACGGCAGGTGCTTCATATTGTGACAGCCACAGCCAGCTTGTGTTTAGTAAGTGACTGCTTTAGAATGGGTAGTTCAGGACTGAGCTGCAGCCTGCTTGCTGGCTCACCAGCTGTGACTGTGCATTTGATGACATCACATTGGCGGCTTGAAATTGGCCATGGTGGCAGTACTTACGCTATGGACATTGGTGAGCACTACCAATCAGGATTTCTATTCTCCAGAGAAGTAGTTAAATGTAGAAGTTGTTAAATGTTTATCATAACACTACCAGGTAGATTGTATTAGCTGCTAAAAATTATCCTCTGTTCTTCATTGTGAGTCTACTCCCAAGGGCCCTGCCTGTGAGAAGAGTATATTTTTTTCCCACTGAAGTCAGTCTTGATGATGTGACTAGTTTGGGTCAATAGAATGTGATGAGAAATACTGTATCATTTCTAAGTAGGCAATCATGTTTCTATAATAAAACATCTGAGATGAATAACATAAGGAGGAGAAGGTCTATTTTGACTCACATTTCTGGAGGTTCTAGTCCAAGATCAAGTGGCCTCAAAGCTTTAAGTCTCCTATAGGGCAGCACATGGTGGTGGGAAGAGTAGAACAAACCCTTTCACTTTGTGAGCCAAGAGCAAAAAAGGATGAGGAAGAACCAGGTACCCACAATCCCCTTTGAAGTTCAGCTCTCTATGAGCTAATTTGTGGTTTAGATAAGAAGTGTCCCCAAAAGCTCATGTGTGAGACAATGCAAGAATGTTAAGAGGTGAAATGATTAGATGAGCCTTGTAACCTAATCACTGGATTAATCCACTGATATGGATTAACTGGGCAGTAATGTAGGCAAGTAGAGTGTTTGGAGGAAATTGGGGGCATGCTTTGAGGTTTGTATTTTGTCCCTGATGAGTGGAGCGATTTCTCTCTGCTTCCTGGCTGTCATGTCCTGAGCTGCTTCCCCCTGCCATGCCCTTCTGCCATGATGTTCTGCCCCATCTGGGGCCTACAGCAATGGAGTCAGCCAACCATGGATTAAACCTCGGAAACCATGAGCCCAGATAAACTTTTCCTCCTCTAACTTATTCTTGTCAGGTCTTTTGGTCACAGCTGACCAAAACACCTAAGGACCTTCCACAAGCACCCCCCCCCCAAAGGTCCACAGCACCTCCCAATAATAACAATGCCATCCTGGGGATCAGGCCTTTAATACATGCACCTTTCGGAGCCATTCAGTATCCAAACTAGAGCACAGAGGAACATATGTCATTTTTTTTCTTTAATTTCCACAAGCTAGCATGTCCCAGATAGTGCCTACTTCTTCAGTTTGGGTCCTAAATAAAGAGCACAAAGCCTGTAAAAAACACAAATACAAGAGAGAGAATACATCTTCTTTGTTGTAAAGATTTTGGACTTGTTTTTTGTTACTCCCTCATTACTCCAGCTAAGTTGACTGATACAGCCATTGGGACTTATCATTGAAGTGCTTCCCTAGCTAATCACATGTCATTAAATCATTTAGCTACCAATGCTAAATCATGTGGCATTAAATCTGGGACTTAGGAATGGGGAGCAAAAAAAAAAAAGTTATTGAAGGATGGAAAAATGGCAACCCATGCTATCTAGTGGCCATACATGTAGGCAACTATCACCTGGGATCCTTGGGGAGATAGACGATATACTAAATGAGTTGTAACTTCAGGTAAAGAAGTCAAAAATAGAATGTCACTCCCATGCATAAGTTGCTATGCAATGCCAATAATGAAGTACTTTAAAAGAGAGTTGAACTTAGGAAAAAAATGGTTCACTTTAGAGAGATTAAAGGGAGTGGGAAGGGCTCAATAATTTGAGGACTAGAGGATGTAATTGATTCTATTTTCCAAACAATAAAAAATAAACCCAGGAAGGTCTTTCCGTGACAAAGGCTGATTAAAATTCAACCTTGCAGCAAGGACCTATAGAAGGTATGGCCCCTTTGAACTGACTAAGGTGGCACCAATTTTCAGCTGAACAAAATGGCTCAAAGGAAAGAGATTATAAATGTGGTTCTTCCACTGAAGCCAATAAATTTAAGTTACCGGCAATTAAGTGTAGAGAGAAAGTCACAAGTAGAAAAGAATTATGGATATGGTCATTGGCTCATGAGATTGTTGAACATCAAATAGGCAAGAATGTGAAAAAATTATATTGCCAAGTCACCAGCGCATAGCAAAATAAATTCTACTTGAGACTTGAAATGGCCTTTGAATTCCCAGCTTTCTGTGGGAAGAAGGCTGTTCGGGGGCACAGTTGACATCCTCTTCTTGGGTGGCTGTAACTGCTGCTCCTGGCCACTGGGTTTAATGAAGGCAAGGTGTCCCAACAGGTCCTCTGACCAGAAGCTGACTGTGGTCTCCCAGCAGGAGGTGCCACACAGTCTCTGATATGGCTCTTTTTCCTGGGAGTGGTACCAGCCCAGGGGCATCTTGCTCCACCAGGTAGGACTGGAGGCAGTGGTGGTATTAGGAGAAGACTCTGGGACTCCGCCTCCCTTTCCACCTGCTGCACATGTTCTTTAGTTACAGTCAGTTAAGGCTGTTCACGCAGCTGCCTGTGGTCCCCCTGGACAGAGAGCGCCTTGTAGGACAGGATTGTATTTTGTCCTCCTCTGTATTCCCAGCACCTGGGACAGCGCCTGGTACACAGCAGGCACTCAGCAAATAAATGCTTGCAGGAATCTTTAGAAATTTTGGAGAGTGAAACAAAAATTAGGAAAATGAGGATGGCAGATGTCCCAATTAAAAAATATTCAGGTGAATTTTGCGAACCAAGGTGGGTTTCAAACAACGTTGAATCATGAGCCTACATTTTGGGTAAAAAAGTCACTCAAATGAAACAGCTGTTTCCTGCTTTTTTTGTGTAGCAAAAAGAGGCATAAGTTGACTAAAAATAATTTACTTCAATTTCAAAACAATTTCTTTCTAGTTTGAAAACTTTGGAAAACTTCCAAACACTTTTTTTTTTTTTTGTACCAGGGATTGAACTCAAGGGCACTTAACCACTGAGCCACAACCCCAGCCCTTTTTTATTTCTCATTTTGAGACAGGACCTCACTAGGTTGCTTACAGCCTCACTAAGATGCTGAGGCGCCACCACGCCCAGCCACATTTTTTTTTTTTAATTGGGAGAAACAGATATCAATTTTTTTAAAGTTAATTTCAACTGCTAAAAAAGCATTTTCCAGTAGTTTTTCATCAGGAGTCTTTGGCGATGCTGATGTGCTGTCTCAATCTCAGTGCCTTGTCTCCTGGTGTGGGAAGTGTTTGAACTCAGTCCTTGCCAACACAGACTTGGAAGCTTGCTAACCCACCACGTAGTTGATATGTTGACCTGTCCAAACTGTAGCCAGCCCTTTCTTTTCTTTTTTTTTTAAACCTAATTGAGTATTTGATTTCAAGACATAAACTATTTTGAAAATAGACACCC